GGGTTCCCATTTCTCCACATCCTCTCCAGCATCTATAGTCTCCCGATTTGTTCATTTTGGCCACTCTGACTGGCGTGAATCCTCCGTCATCTCTATCTGCTTTAGGATCTCACAAGAGTCTAGTCTTCCAATTCCTTTTTTAACCCTCTGTCCCAGGCTGCCTTTTGCTTTTTTTCTCACCAAGGCTTGACTTCCATGGCTGATCAGTCGAATTTCTTTTTCACTTACTTAACGTTTCTCCATTCCTACAGCCAAAAGACTGAGCACTGTTAGAAAAAACTATAGAAGTGTAAGAAGTGGTGTTTTTTCCAGTTCATGATCTCCAACTCAGATGCACAATCATTTATCCTCATGAGTAGTTTCTTTATTCAATCCATCCATAGCTGTCACTACTTTCTTCAAATCTGCTACATCTCTCTACATCATCTACATCTCATCTACATCAGACTAAATCTATCTAACAGACTGTGGAAATCATATGACTTTATGTTTTCAAATGTCACTTCACACTTCATCTACCGCCCTCACTCTCAGGAGGCTACTAGCTCTCTTCTTACTTCATGAAATCTGGAAACCTATATCAGTGCTTCCCTCCTTCTCTCCAGTGAATGAGGTCTTCTTCCTCTTATTTTGAGGCCAACCATTCTATTGGAGATCTTGATCCTGTGGGAGAAAGTATGGTATAGAGGCAAAGGTGTGAGCTTTGGAGCCAGACAGTTGGTTAATATCCTAATTCTGTCACTTACCAGTTAGGCAAATTTGTTTAATTACTCTGAGCTTCTTTTCTTATCTATAAAATGTAGATGATGCCTCTTTCATGAAATTGTTATAAGGAGTCAGTAAGTTTTATATGTAGTATAAGAAAAGTAATGTTATTCTCATTTCCTCCAGTACTTTGCTGCAACAACTCTCTCTGGAGGAATTCATGTGTTCAAGGCAAAAAGCCATTGGGATCCAACTATGGAACTGGGGCTTCATTAGGCAGTGATCAAGGAGGACAAGCTCCCTGTCCTCATGGAGTTTACAGTGCAGCAGGAAAGGAAGAAATCAAGTACTTACAGTCCTGATGTATAGTGCGGCGGAGGAAGCATCGGGATGAGGGAAACAGGAATAATCTGCAGAGTCATGGAAGGCAGATCAAGAATGAAGGCCTGAATGAAATCAGGGGCTGTGGAGAATAAGAGGAAGGAATTGACAGAAGAGTTATCAAGAATGAAGAGACTGGGCTTGGGAGGAGGATGGGGAGAAAAGTAGCGGGGAATACGAGGTAGGGGTTCTGCAGAATTGAGGGCGGAATGACTGAAGGATGGAATGGACGTTGAGTGAGTGAGAGGTGGTGTTGTCCCAGGAGGGAGAGATCATTATATATAGATTTACAATGGCCTGCTTGAAGTGATGTTTATTTGTCGACTTTGAAACTATAAAGTCATGTGCTTTCTCTAGGCTCTTACAATATTCAATCTGGGAGAGACTTAGGTAAAGCAGTTTCTTCATGGCATGACTTCTCAGAGTGCATTATAAATCTCCAGTGACTCCAGAACTCCTGTTATCAAAGGGGACTCTCCTCTGGCTACTAGAGTAAGGAATTCAATTCCCTCTGGGAAAGCCCCATCTAGGAGTCCAGGTAGTTATGAAAAATGAAGGCTATTTTAATTCCAGGCAGCAGAGGGCAACGTTGGCCTCCTTATCCAGATTGATAGGTGCTTCAGACAAGGTTAAAGTTAAAATCCCATTAAAATGACCTTAGGGCCAGTTTGAACTTTAAAGGAAGATTCTTTTGTTTCCTCCATGGTTACATCCCAAGTTCATCTCCATTATTGCTGAAAATTAGCCTTGAGAATTGTTGAAATGAGGTGTCCATCGAGGTGCCAAAACAAACTCAGGTGGAGATACCTTTCGGAGTTGCCTGCTTACCGGGGAAGGGTAATGGAATCAAACAGCATTCTCTGATTATTTACATCTTAAAACGGGACCTTGCACTGGTCATTCTCAGATGCTCCTTATTATAACCATATAAGATTATGTTTCATATTTGTAAATATTTATTATTATAAGTTAAATGCAAGCTCATTTAGAAAAACTAGAAAACACATGGGGTGCCTGGGCAGCTCAGTCCGTTAAGTGTCCACTTCACTTCAGCTCAGGTCATGATCTCACAGTTTGTGGGTTCCAGCCCCGCATCCGACTCTGTGCTCACAGCTCAAAGCCTGGAGCCTGCTTCGGATTCTGTCTCCCTCTTTCTCTGCCCCTCCCCTACTTGTGCACTCTCTCTCATATGCACCCTCGCTCTCTCTCTCAAAATTAAATAAACTTAAAAAAAAATAAAAAAGAAAAACTGCAAAATACAAATAAGGAATAAAAGACTCATAATTTCATAGCATGGATGATTACTATTATACTTTCTTGTATATCCACCCACACGATTAGACTTATAGATAGGGATTATATGTTACCAGTTTAATTACCTGATTTTCACTTTTGATTTATATCCCAAACATCATTTTGATGTCTACAGAATGGACTGATAACTAACTGTAACATGTTAATTTGATCAAATTCCTATACTTTATCATTTAGCTTTCTAGATCTCTAAAATTATGTACAGGGATTTTGAACCAACTTGTAATGCAGTCTTCTAATCTATTTTTTAAAAGCTTTCTTTTTTTTTCATTGTTTCCCTATTCATAGATATTCAACTTTTGTGATGGTTATGTTTTTCTCCATACCTTTCTCCAAATCCATACAGTAATGTACAACCATCTATGCACTTACATACATTTTTTTTTTAGATAAACAAAAAATAGCATTATAGGATACACATCCTGCCATCCTGCTTTTCTTGACTAACAGTATACAGTGGCTACACCTCCAGTTTGACGGGTATAGATCCATTTTATCCTTTAAAAAAATTGGGGCGCCTGGGTGGCTCAGTCGGTTAAGCGTCCGGCTTCGGCTCAGGTCATGATCTCACAGTCTGTGAGTTCGAGCCCCACGTCGGGCTCTGTGCTGACCGCTCAGAGCCTGGAGCCTGCTTCAGATTCTGTGTCCCCCTCTCTCTCTGCCCCTCCCCCACTCATGCTCTGTCTCTCTCTGTCTCAGAAATAAATAAACCTTAAAAAAATTAAAAAAAAAAAAAACTATACACAATTCCATTATATGTCTTTCTTACAGCTTTATCAGAGATTCTCTTACTGATGGAAACTTCAAGTTGTTGTTTTTTATTTGTCTGTTTTGGGTTTTTTGCCACACAAACTATGCTGCAAATGTCTTTTACATACACTCCTATATAAAGGCCCTCTTATTTCTGTAGAGTAGTTTCCAGAAGTGGGGTTGCAAGGTCAGAGGATCTGTGTGTTTTTGTGTTGTAAGCTCTGTTTAGATCGCCTAAAATCTAAGAGATCCTTGTTCCACATAATCACTTACCTAACAAAGAAAGACAACTTTGCCAATGTGAAGGGCAAAAAGTGCTAACTCATTATTCAATGATTTTGTTTCTCCTAGAACTAGGATATAAAATTAACCCATTGAATGACAGAGATGCGTGCATTACCTCCAATCTGAAGACAAGAGATGGCAGAGCCATGGCTGTGCCTGGGGTTTGATGAAGTGTCAAATGAATTTGCTGCCAGGCAGGGCAGCAGTGGATTGTGCTGTGCACCGTGTCTGTCCCCACCTGGCTGTGACTCCAGAGTCATGCTTCCCATCCTGCTGCCCTGCACTGGTGTGCAGTTGCACAGGCAGCTTCGCCTCACGGGAGCTCCTTCCTCGTGTCCAAACTTGGAAAAGGAGCAGCGCAGACAAAGAGGCCCAGCTGATGCTCAACTGTGGCCAGACAATATGAAATGACACAAAAGTTTATGATACATGGAGTTCCTGTTATAATAACTAACCGGAAGGAAACACTCTTTTTCTATGGCGTTATTCCCTAAAGAGGATCAGGAAGCCCTGTTGCTAAGAGACCTTGCAGGGACATTTTAAAGTGCTCATTTTAGTTAAATGAGGGCATCAGTGACTGGGGATTAGCTACATAGGGATGGAAGTAGAGAGGGGGAGATATGAGGATATAAGGGCTTTAGGGTTTAGGAAACAATACCCCTTTCTACCTCTCCTGGGTGTTGAACCAACTGAGAGAAACAGAGAGAGAGAGAAAGAGAGAGACAAAGTCTAGCAGCTGGAGAGTCCATTGTTACCTTTATCACTGATAAACTGTTCAGAGCACAGCCACATATCTGTCATGGCAGTGGGCTGGCTGTCCCTTCTCTACAGAGGTAGAAATAAATTCCTCCATCCAGAACAGGCAGAGCTGCAAAACCCTCTCCTGATAAAATGTGAGGCAGAGCATTTTCTGGACTCGTTGGCTTACAGTTGGTTAACTAGTTAGTTAACAGGAGGTGGCTCTTCCTCCTACCCACCCACCAGATTACCCCCTCCCTCCCCCTTAGAGAAGGGAAATGAAGATAGGTGAAGAGAGGAAACAAGGGATTGAGTCTAAATAGGAGGAGGGAATTAACATTCTATCAACAGTTGTTGTTTAGACTCTCTTATTCAGAAATGCTCCAGCCACTCAGAATGCCCAGGTAAGTAATAGAATGCCCAGGGTGGGTGTTTAGGCTCCAAAGTCAAAGCTTCAGACTGGATCTCTTCTCTGAAATGTATATGGGACTCTGAATTTTTTTCTGTAGCCACTGTTTTCGAAAGTACCTCCTGTTGGGAACCCCACCTGCTCATAACTGACTGCATAGACCCATGGGCTTTGTTTATGTGATCTGGAATGAATAGCTTCCATACACCAGCAATTTTCAGCAACTGCTTATACTTTAACAGAAGAAACAGTGCTTCTGTTCTAAAATTTCCATCTGGGGAGGGGAGCCACTGCTGCCAAGTCCGGACCCAACACCATGCGCCTTGGACGCCCACCCGCTGATGTGCATTCCTGATTCCTCTTGGCTCTAAATCCAATATGGCAACTCTCAAGGATCAGCTGATTCAGAAACTTATTAAGGAAGATCATAACCCCCAGAATAAGATTACCGTTGTTGGGGTTCATGCTGTTGGCACGGCTTGTGCCATCAGTATCTTAATGAAGGACTTGGCAGGTTGAACTTGCTCTTGTTGATGTCATGGAAGACAAACTGAAGGGAGAGATGATGGATCTCCAGCATGGCAACCTATTCCCTAGAACACCAAAAATTGTCTCCGGCAAAGACTATCATGTGACTGCAAACTCCAAGCTGGTTATTATCACAGCTGGGGCACGTCAGCAAGAGGGAGAAAGCCATCTTAATTTGGTCCAGCATAATGTGAACATCTTTAAGTTCATCATTTCTAATATGGGTTGTAAAATAGAACCTAAACTGCAAGTTGCTTATTGTTTCCAATCCAGTGGATATCTTGACCTATGAGGCTTGGAAGATAAGTGGCTTTCCCAAAAACCATGTTATTAGAAGTGGTTGCAATCTGGATTCAGTCTGGTTCCATTACCTAATGGGGAAAAGGCTGGGACTTCACCCATTAAGCTGTCATGGGTGCATCTTGGGGAGCATGGAGACTCTAGTGTGCCTGTATGGAGTGGAATAAATGTTGCTGGTGCTTTCCTGAAGAATCTGCACCCTGACTTAGGCACAGATGCAGATAAGGAACAGTGGAAAGAGGTTCACAAACAGGTGGCTGACAGTGCCTATGAGGTGATCAAACTGAAAGCCTATACTTCCTGGGCCATTGGACTGTCTGTGGCAGATTTGGCAGAAAGTATAATGAAGAATCTTAGGTGGGTGCCTCCAATTTCCACCATGATTAACGGTCTCTATGGAATAAGAGATGATGTCTTCCTTAGTGTTCCTTGCATCTTGGGACAGAATGGAATCTCACATGTTGTGACGGCAACTCTGACTCCTGAGGAAGAGGCCCGTTTGAGGAAGAGTACAGATACACTTTGGGGGATCCAAAAAGAGCTGCAGTTTTCAAGTTTTCTGATGTTGTACCACTTCACTGTCCAGACTACAACCAGATTTTAGTTGGAGGTTGTGTATATTACCCTTCTTACCTGATCTGTTACTCAAGTACTAATATTAAAATAGCCTAGGAAAAACCTGTTTCCTAAAGTTACAAATAGGCATGGTTCACAAAACCCTGAAGCTACATCCTGATGCTGGATGAGACCCCTCTTCTTCTAAGTTGGTTAATGTAAACTAGCTCTACCACCTCAGAGGCACCACTGCCAACGCTGTGTATGCTGCTGTTGCTTTTCAAACCAGATGTGTATTTACTGTGTGTTATATTACTTCTGGTTCCTTCACCCAACATGCCCAGTCCACCTTTTTTTTTTCTCCAGTCAATCACATCCTGGGATCCAATGTATAAATCAGTACTGCATCTATAGTGCATAACTGTTCTAAAGGATCTAAAGGATCTTATTATGTGTACTATGTATGTCAGAATATAGTGTACATTGCCTTATAATGTAAAAAGAAACATCTACATATAAACAATGCAACCAACAATGTATCTAAGTGTCATACCAACCAACTAAACTACCAAATAAACTTGGAACAGTGAAAAATAAAATAAAATAAAAATCTCCATCTGGGATCATCCTGGGCGATGTGTAAGCTGGACATGGGAAGGGGTGGCCACGGGAGCGGGAAGCTGAGGATCTGGGTTCCAAAATCCAGCTCTGCCCCAACTAGGAGTGCTTGCATCCATCCTCCCTGTGGGCTTCAGTTCCATTTCCTGCACAGGATGAGGGGCTCGAATATGGGGGCAACCTTTCCACCTTAACACGGGTTCATTTTTTTTTCAAGTTTATTTTTTTAGCTGAGATAGAAAGAGGAGGAGAGAGAGAGCATGAGTGCACACGAAAGCAGGGGGAGGGGCAGAGAGGTAGGAGAGAGGGAGAACTCCAAACAGGCTCTACACTGTTAGTACAGAGCCAGATATGAACTCAGGAACCGTGAGATCATGACCCGAGTCGAAGTTGGACACTTAGCCAACTGAGCCACCCAGGTGACCCTAAACACAGGTTCATTTTAAATATATAAAGGGAACACTCTTTACTAATGATATGCCTATGTTTGTTTGTTTTTTAATTAAAAAAAAACTTTTTTAGGGGCTTCTGGATGGCTCAGTTGGTTAAACAACTGACTTCGACTCAGGTCATGATCTCACAGTTCATGAGTTCAAGCCCCACATTGGGCTCTGCACTGACAGTGTAGAGCCTGCTTGGGATCCTCTGTCCACACTCTCTGTACCTCCCCAGCATGCTCTTTCTCTGTCTCTCTCTCTCTCCTGTCTGTCTAAAAATAAAGGGGCAGAGAGAATCCCAAGCAAGCTCCATGCTGTCAGTGCAAAGCCTGACTTGGGGTTCGAACTTGCAACCTGAGCCAAAATCAAGAGCAGGGAGCTTAACCGACTAAGCTCACCCAGTGATATGCCTATGTTTAAAAACAAAAACAAGAACAAAAAACCTGGGCAAAGTGGATGTGATGACATATCAGATAAAGAATAAATGTTTGTAGATTACAGGATTGACAATTACTATTCTCCATCAGGATTCTTAGTAGAAAACCACAGAATTCCCTCTAGCTAGTTCAAGTGGAGAGGAGTTTATTAAAAGGATACTAAGCGGTTCACAGAGCCTGCTCTGGGGAGGGAGTCTACCCTCACATCTCCTTGAAGGTTACCTTGTAAAGCTGGGCATCCCTCCCCCACAATCCTCCAGCCTCTCTTCGGCAGCTGGATTCTCTTGGTGCTACCTTCTTCCTGTGAAAATCTTGCTCTTTGTGCTCTAGCTTCGGGGGAGAGGGGTGGCTAGTGGAAGGCTTCCACCTTGAGGATGTAGCAGAGGGGAGAGGGGAAATTGTCCAGGTTGTAGGAACAGAATTCAAAAAATATTGAGTGACAAAAAACACGGCAAATGTGCATGCCCACTGTTGCTATATTGTCCCACAGGAGACAGAAGACTGAAGACTGGAATTTTATGCATCACAAAGCATTTGATTTTCATGTGTGCCCACACATCAAAGAACCAGAGAACCATCCTATATTAACTTGGCATCACAGTTCTTGTAATAAGGACTTAAAAAAAATTTCAGTTCTGGCAAATGGAAATCATGACTTGTTCATGGCTCTGAAAAAGGACACGTTATGTTAAATTAGCCATTGACATTAATTCAGTGTGCAGCTAAATGGACAAGTTGAATTACGCTGTCTTCAAGAGGGTTTTTTGTGGGGAGGGGAAGTGGTCAAGTAAAGAAGTTAGCCAAAGAAGTTGTAGCTGGGATATATCTAGTGCCTTAACTTCAAGATAGGAGAGAACTAATTCTAGGTATGCTCGGGCCTGAATTAGAAAGACCACAAAACCCCACACAACATCATTTGGCTAAGTCTTCTTTCTCTCCCTCCTTTGATCCCTCCCTTCCTTTCCTGAAAAACTCAGCCCAAATATTACTTCATGGGATTGAGCAAAATAGGCATCTATCGCAGGGGGTGAGGGGCAGAATTAAGGCTGGGTGTCAGAGCCTAAATGGGGTGAGGAGGGATGAGGTTTGTGGGGTAATGGGGAGGTTCGTGGGGTCTGGAGTCGACGACCAAGAAAAAATTCTTGAAGACATCTTTGGTGCAAAAAGGTGATTTTATTAAAGCACGGGGACAGGGCCCATGGGCAGAAAGAGCTGCCCTGGGACGGTGAAGAGACACTGGTTAATATACTTGGGAGGTGGGGGAGGTAAAGTCAAGGGTAAGTTTCCAATGGGATTTTCATATACTAAAGAAGACTCACAGACTACTGGAGGCCTAGCTATTGTCAAGCCAAGGTTCTTTTTCCCCTCTAGCAAAGCATTAATAATACTAAGAAGGTAGGGAGTTCCTGGAGAAACATTTTGCTCTGCCTGCCTCGAGTATCTGCCAATGGGCTGCAAATTATAAGGAAATTTAATTTTATCTGCCATTTCCTTCTGCCTTTGTTTCCCACATGAAGGAAGATACCTGTGTGGGTGAGTGACAGGGCTGAGGCAGAGGCCCAACAACCCTGGGTGAAGATGGCATCCAGTAGGGGTGGTGATGGTGGCTCAGAGCAGGAGGTCTGAACACATGTGAAGTAAAGAGGCGTCTGTGAAGGTGGGGGTGGGGTGACGGGAGATAATCCAAGAAGTAAATCCATGGAGGATGGTGAGAGCCAGGTTTCTCACAGTCCAAGAAGTGAGAAAACTCACATAAGCCCTGTGATATTCATTTGGAATTGGAGATATCAGTGTGGATTCATGATTTTCAGTAAATATAGACAGAATAATGAATATAGATATAAAAGTTTATGTATACATACATACTCACACAGACGCCACCTTAAACAGATGATCAAAATAACATTACTAGTGAGGGGACACTTTGAAATTGTGTGCCACTTGATGAGATTTACCGAGAAGAACATGGCATCACTTCTGTGATACCCCTGTCCCAAACAATGACCTGAATCTAATCATGGAAAGTATCAGACAAATTCAAACTCAGAGATGTTCTACAAAACAACTGGTCTGTAATCCCCAAACATGTCAAGGCCATAAAAGTCAAGGGAGGACTGAGGAACTGTTCTAGACAGAAGGAGAATAGGGCAACTAAATGCCATGTGTGATTCTGGGTTTTATCCTTTTTCTTTAAAGGATATTATTGGAACAACTGGTGAAACTTGAATGGTGTCTTTGGATATGTATCAGTGTTGATTTCTTGACTTTGATGGTTGTTTTGCAGTAGGAGAATGTCCTTATTTATAGGAAATAAGTATTCAGGGAGGATGGGGCAATGGGTTGAGGGGGAAAAGTTCTTTGTACTATTCCTGAGAGTTTTCTGTAAGTTCAATATTATTTTAAAAAATCTATTAAAAGATTTATGTATTTCCCTAAAACTGCTTTCGGGATTTAAGAAATTACTAACTTTTTTAAAAACTAAGTTACATACTGAAAATTCAGTCTTTTTGGTGGTTTAGTTCAATGAATTTTGACGAACATATACAGTAATGTAATCACTACAAACAACATTTGGAACATTCAGTGTGGGGAAACAAAAAAAAGGAAGCCTTAACTGTGGATGTTTCTTACTTTTAAAAGTGTTCAGGAATTAGTTGGGTTTTTAAAGATGCTTTTATTTTACAGGTATAAATATTAAACCTGTTCTTACACTTCTCTTTCAAATATTTAGATATCAATAGGTGATATGAAGCGATGTTTGACTTTAAAAAAAAGGTTTAAAATCTTATAAACAAGCGAAGAGACGCGAAATAAGACCCTTCACTGAAGAAAGTGCTTAGGTTTCCTCTTTGCCTCCCCCGAAAGGTAGAATTAAGCGCAATGTCTTCTGCCAGGAAAAGTCTCATTAGTCCCAAGAAGAAGGCCCGCCCACCTGCCCCACTGCTTGCGCTGCTCTCATGCTTCCCAGCCCGTGAAATACATGAAATACACCTACGTGCTCCGCGGTGGGCGATGGCACTTAACTTCCCTCGCCCTCAAGTTTGGCTGATGGGCTGTGAAGAGCCGGCTCACACTTGCTCTCAGGAGACTGGGGTGCTGTGTGCTGGGGCTCAGATCTCACAGGGCCTTGGAGGGAAGGGGTCAGGAATGGATCACTGATCACAGGGGTGAGAGATCTCTTAATTCATTCTCTAGCTTTCCCCTGAGGTCCTTGAAGCAGGACAGAAAAATTCAAGTCTTGTCACAACTCAGAGGTGCAGGGAAAAGGAGATTTGCTCTACAGCAGTCTCTCGTGGGATACTAGGTGAAAATCAATTACAGCTCCACTCCAATTTAAAGCTTACTCCCTGTAAGTGGGGTTCAGCTTCTGTTAAGAAGATACAGTCCCTTGGGGCGCCTGGGTGGCGCAGTCGGTTAAGCGTCCGACTTCAGCCAGGTCACGATCTCGCGGTCCGTGAGTTCGAGCCCCGCGTCGGGCTCTGGGCTGATAGCTCAGAGCCTGGAGCCTGTTTCCGATTCTGTGTCTCCCTCTCTCTCTGCCCCTCCCCCGTTCATGC